ATAAATATTTAGTATTTATTAAACACCCCAAGCAAAACTTATTTTTTAAAAGTAGCTGAAGTTGCCTTAAAAATCACCTCCACCAGCCCTTTCAGCAGAGATTCTTACGAAAGCGCCAGGCAGGAATCTGGAAAGAGGGACCCGGCATCATGGCTGGACAGCATGCAGCCCACCTGGGTGAGGGGTTCGAGGTGAGTTTCAGGACAGTTCTCGCCCTCTGCCTCGGTGCCCCCACAGCTGTTTGTTGGTAACTTCATGTCCCCCTCTTTGTTCTCACAACCTATTTTCCCAGAAGTAGAATCCCTCTACAGTGAAGGCCTAGGAGACACTGTGGGAGGAACTTGGGGCAAGGGGGGACAGGAGGGACAGCGAGAGCCACAGAGCCTTTCTTGAGCCCCAGGCCTACGAGGTTTCCAAAAACAACTGTGGTCTAAGCCGTCCCCACATGTCCCCACGGCTTCTCTTCTCTGTCTCCTATTGCCACGTAAAAATGGAATTTCTTCTCATGCCCCAAAGTCATGAATCTTTTATGTGGCCACATGAACTTCAAAGCACTAAAATTTCCTATGGGTTTTATGTGAGCAAACGTGTGGCCTACTGAATACTGCACATGAGGCTAAAGAAAGAAAGATGTACCGTTGAGAAAGACATTCACAATGGCTCTAAGATACAATATCAAACACTGGTTTGGGCCGATAAGGTCTCAATTTTACACTTTTTAAAATTTTAATCAAATGTCACTAAGGTCGTGAAGATTTACAATAAACCATCTCTAAATCATAAGCATCTTAGATAAATAAACCTGAAATTTCAATCCCCAATCAATCTATTTACTTTCCATGCTGTTTCTGGGTGTATTTCATTTTGTCAAACCCAGGGGTAAAGGAAATAATTCTGTTGTTTTTACCTTTGTGCCTCTGAGGCTATCCTGAGCTCTTGGACACATTTTGTGCTTGGGAAAAAAAAAAAAAAAAAAAAAAACTCTGGGGTTGCGAACATTCTGAGCATGCCAAAATGATACATCCTTTTTTCAGTATGACTGTAAAGTAAAGATATAGACCAATTTTGTGAAATTTAACAATTTAGAATAAAATATAAATGTGATAAGAGCTCAAAAGATTTTGCATAATCAATGTGCTATACTCAATGACTCCCAGAAAATGGGAAAAATAGTCATAAAAAAGGCAAATGAACTCTATAAAAACACAAAATAAAGTGTGTAACAACCTAAGCACTAAGAATTAATGAAAACAATTATATATCAAGAATATTTACGAAGGAAACAAAACAAAAAGTCAAGAGCTAAAACAGCTAGACCCACACTTAAAGCGGACAGAGGAACAGTAAAACGGGCAGCTTGATGAATGCATTTGGAAACCTTATTGTTGTGCTCATTATTTATTTTAACTGCCATCTGAAACCATGGTAAAGACACAAACGTCTTTCCAGGCAACTGTCACAGACACAACGTGGTACAAGGCAGTCCAACTACACCAACCAGCTCGAGGATTTCCCAACAGCCCAACAAAATCCCGAGCAGAAACGAAAGAGGAAACACAGGACAACTGCCATGCTGTTTCTCTTCAGAGTGACCAACAACGAGGAGGCCACTGCCTTTGGGGACAGCAAATGCTCAGGACGAGCTGGTGCCAGAAAGGGGCTCTCCTGGCTCTGTTCAGAATTTAAACCAAGAAAAATAGTCCCGCGCCAGGAGCTGCGTCCACAAACCTCTCTGTCCACCTCTCCAGGGCCTCAAGCAAAGGGCACCCCTCCCAAGACTCCTTAGGGGACACACAGATCCCAACAAAGGCGCAGCGCAGACCAGGCCGAAAAGGCGGTGGGAGTTGGCTGTAGTGGCTTTCCTTTCTGTCCCGCATTCCTGAACGCTGGCAGCTTTGTGTCTAGCGCAGGTGGCTCAGCACAGTTCAGGGGGAGCCACGCTGCCAGCGATTGGCTAAGGTGTTTCCTTGGGACTATTCAGCACCACAAACCAAACAGAATCTAGAAAATTCACATAAATAAAAAGCAGGACCAAGAGACGACTATGAATCACATGCACCCAGGGTGTACGGAGGGTGGGTGTAGGGGACCCCAGGGATAGGTGGGCCAGGCCCAGGGACCACCAGGACACCCTGGTAAACAGTAGCCTGAGTTTTCAAGGTTGAAACCTTGACCTGAGGATATCTGAACCCTAGGTCCCAGAGGGAAATCTGCCAAGTCTGAGAGTTCTGCATGGATTTGGGGGTAAATGAAAATGTATGTGACCTTAGAATAGGCCAGGTATGGTCCCCTCACCCAGGGCAGGGGAGCCGCAGACACGGTGGAGGACCATGGCTTTGGTGGACCAAGGGTCGGAACATGAGGATCTGGCTCTCAGAAAGTTGATCTGGTCCCACTGCAGTGTTTTCTGGTGTTGTCATGTGACGATATGTCGGGGTACAACAACCCCTTAGCCAGCCCCTGACTTATCCCTGGTCCTTCCAACCCTTCATCTTCTGCCACCACAGGATTTTTGACAGCATCATACTTAAAAACCTCAGATGGCCCAGTGCTCCTTGCACAGAGGTAAATATCACTGTAGGGATATTTTACCAGCTGGTCCCAATAGACAGGCCCAGGCCCACTGACGCCGTGCCTCTCTGTGGAGTCCTAAGCTCTGCGCCACGCCACAGAGCTGTGTGCTGCGCCAGGCCCCTCCTGGCTGGTGCCCAGCCCACTGTTCCTCCTCCGCCATTTTCACAAGGATCTCACAGCTGCCAGCATCCATCAGCCAGTTGTAAAGCTCACCTCCTTACCCGAGGTCTCGGGTATGATTCGTTGTCACCCTCCTGTGTTCGGGGCATTTTGCTTACAGGAAAGCTACACAGAGTTTAAAGCTCTCCTGTTGCCCAATGTTTAGAAACTATGATTTTGTATCATGGTCATCCTGCGTCTGTGTCCAGTTAGACTGTGGTCTTTTGGGGTTCAGGACAGTTTCTCGTTTCTCTCGGTGGTCAGTACTCTGCACAGTAAGTCCTCACTGGGTACTTGTTAGTGAGTAACTAGAGGCTATGGGTTTCCAAGTGTGGTTACTTAAGGTTAGTGCTTCTCCATTTTGCAGACTTGAGAGAACAGACATGACCCTGAGAATCACCCGCAGTGCTGGCAGCCCTGTCACGAAAGGACAGACCCAATGGCGTTGTATACATTTTTTTCCAGAAGTCCTGAACATCCAACTTCCTCTCCATAAGCAGGATAATACATCAACGAGACTTGCATTAGAGAAACTTTTTGCACAATTCATAGCATCTCATTGTTATTGTGCCCATTTTTTAAAAAGAGAAAACATTAGCACATAAAAGCTAGACTAATTTACTGGCCTTTCTTGGTGAATTAACAATGGAGCCACAGCTAGGAGCCAAGATTTACTGAATCCCCGTGTTAATCTTAGTCCATTGAATCATCCGCCCTGTGGTCCAGTTGAACTAGACTCAAGGAAGAAGAGCAGGAATGGAACGGCTGTGTCCCCAGCCGCTGGAGGGAGGGGGCCCGAGTCAGCTGCCCGCCTGCAGGGCAGTGAACCACAATAAGCTATTCATGCTGCTCCATAATCTCTCCCTGCCTGGACCAAGCACATGACCCTGGCCCTGTGCTGTCTTCTGGTGTGAGGCACAGTGAAGTCAAGGGCTCTCTGGAAGCTCACCAGGGCTGATCTCTGTGACGCTCTATTCAGTCCCGACACATAAGAATCTCTTTCCTGGGCGCTGTATTCCGTGAAAATTATATTTTACAGGGGAAAAAATAAAACTTGCCAAATTATGCATTGAATGTGACAACCTTCCATACATCTTGCTGTTTCTAAGAAATGTTTCCTGAATTACATTTGGATTTTCTGCATGCTAAGGGAAACGATTTGCATGTCATCAACAGATACACGAGAACTCCAAGCTGTGGTAGGGAAACTTCATCAACATAAACATTTGGTCTGCCAAATTTTATGCCTAAGTGTCAGAGGAACAGCTCACTCTGGCTCTGCGCTTCAGACGTCAGCCAGGTCCCACCCATGATGGGCCAGGGGGTTGGGGATTTCATTCAAGAGCCGGGTGAAAACCAGGGTCAGGCAGATTTGGGAATAAGTTTGTAAGAATAACCCTAATCAGTGTGAAATCAGTGCTCTTTGGAGCTTTCTGTACCTAGAAAGGCAGTGTAAATGTGAATTGAACACACACACACACACACACACACACACACACACACACACGCAGCATTGGGCCGGGCACAGAGTCTGAGCCAGGTTTCTGGTTTAATCAATGGACAACCATGACCTCTTCCTCAGAGGAATACAGGGAATATTAAAATGAACAGGCACATGAAATCACTATCCCTGCACACAGTTTTCTCTGCAAATATGCAATAGCAATAACAGCAAAATGAATTTAATGAAGTCCAAAATCGGAGCCGTGCAGGATCCACCTCCAAGGCAGGGCTGTCGCACTCGCCCCCCATTTCCCCGTTTGTGGGGACCAGGCTACTTGTTCCCATGCAATCGGCCTCTGAAGCAGGCTTGCTGTCTGGCAGCGTCTTCCCCACCGTCCACGCCCAGCTGAGGCCACCTTCCCGCCTGTGGCACTTGTGGCAGAAACTCCAGCTGTCCCCTGGAGAAGGACAAAGGCCCCCCCCCGGGTGGGGGGGCGCAGGGACCCAAGGACAGAGCTCCTGAAATACCTGTACCCGGGTCCTCGGCGGCGGCCACACTCTGCCTGGCCCCTCCCTGTCTGCCCGTCGGTCTGCTTTCCTTCTGCTTTCCCAGGGACGCGCCTCATCCTTTCTTCTGTGGCCCCTCACCCCACCCTGGTGGTCTTTTTCTCTGGGGCCTCTTTCCTTGTCTTCTTCCTGGGACTTTGGGCTTCCCTTTCTCCTCTCTCTCCCCCGCTGATCTCCCAGGACCAGTACAGGCACAGTCCAAGGGCCCGGTACACTTTTAGGGAACCACAAAATGTTCCAGTATTTTAACATCAGAAGAAAAGAATAAGTTTTTAATAAACAGTATTAATATATTCATCTTCATCCAGCAGACGCATAAAATATAACTGCGGACATATTACTTTACGAAAGAAAGGACGCACGAAGAGTCCCTTGGGCCCACAAAAGTCCTAATGTGACCCTGTCCTCTCTCTCTCCTGTCACCTAACAACACTGCTGCTTGTCTCTCCTTGACTTTTCTGGTAAAACCCAGTTCATCATTTTTTCAGTTTTCCCAAGATCAAACTCAACAGCCAGCTCCGCTGTGTTCCTATAGCGCCAGGCACACCTGCAGGGCCGTGATCAGTGTCTTAGCACCCATGGCCTGGGGGGCTGTGAGCACCGTGCAAGCCTGGGCCTGTGTCCAACTGTTCCTGGGGGAAATCTGTGTTTCCTGTTCCAATCAGGGAGCACAAGGACCAGTGAGGAACAAGCAGCACCCGCTTTTCATCCACTAATGCACATACCACCCACCACCGAGCCTGGCTCAAGCCCATGAGGACGAGGTGGGTGTGTCACAGACACACTGGAAACCTAGGAGTGGGTGGTAACGTCACGCACAGTGCCTCTCACTGGGGTGGAAAGATGTGGCTGACCTGCAGGATTGCTGGTGTCCGGGCTGCTTATCCACGTGTCCTGATTGCCACTGGAAACAAGTGGATTTTGAGGAGCTAGTTCACAAAAAATGCTCATCCGCTTGCATGCATTAAAAAACCAGACCCGTATCCCCTGTGCCCCTGGTGGCTGAAATACGACTCATGAGGAGAAGTACCCGCCCGCTATCCTGCAAGGGTGCAGTAGGCCGTCCCTGTGCAAGGGCAGCCTTGGAGTCGGTGGAGGGTTCTTGAAAGTGGAGGGAAGGAATGAGAGTGAAAGAAAAGGGAAGGGGCCTGGATGTATTGTTCACGTTTCCGACATGGCCGAAATTTATGGAGTCCCATTTTTTAAGGCCAGGGTAATATTTCTTAGTTTCTCATTATTGTGGCTTGACACAGTTTAAAAGCACCACATGTCCTTTTGAATTGGAGAGTGCACAAAGAAAGTGTGTGTGATACTACTGCCGAAAAGAATCCTAAATGAGGATTTCAAGCTCTTGAACATGAGCAAATATCTTGATAGGTGGGTAATTCAAAACCTCCCAGGGAAAGAGCTTAGCATTCACTAAACTGGGGCCATGTGAATGTGTCTGTTGGAGAAAACAGTTGCAACTTTAGAAAATTCGACCTGGAAAAAAAAAAAAAAAGAAAGTGCTGTTTTCCCTTTTCCCTCTAGAACTTTCGGTTCTCCTAGCTTCTTTTGTTGCTGCAAAATTATATTCATTAACAAAGCTCCTGGGAAGGCTGCCGTCGCTGAGCAGCAGTTGGAAACAATGCTGTGGAATGAGACTAAATTGATCCAAGGGTTTGCACAATCCTGAGACCTCTAAAAAGATGACATATTAAGCGACAACCCCAGCAGATCCATGCACCTTGCAGGGGAACACTGTGAGCGGAAGGGGCCCCCAGCTCCTCCTGCACCCCTCCCTGTCCTCCAAAACACAGTCCAGGCCCACAGCACAAAGTGACTGCCCCTGAAGAGGCTTAAAGGTCAAAGCAGGGGAAAGTAAAAACTAAATAAATGAAGAGGCTATTCTTACTGTTCTACCTACCTAACAGAGAAAATGGAAAAAAGAGAGGTCTTTGTTCTTTCCTTCACTTACCAAATTTTACCAAACCCAGTGCATGGGACACTGTGGTCACTTGAAGTGAAGAAAATCAACACAGGCTAAGCCGTAAGTGGTGGCCTGGTCTGTAGAAGGTGTGCATGGAAAAGCCTTGGCAGCTGAGGCTGTGGGAGGGGGAGTCTGCGGCCGAGAGGGGACAGGCATAGAATCCCCCCCACGATGCACAGGGGGAACCAGCCTGTGCGTCCAAGAGCCCTTTGCTCCCATGACCCCCTGATGCGCCTCCTGTGCTCAGCTAGCATTCTGGTCCATCTGATAACAGCTGAGGAAGACTGGTTTGACCTGTTTGGCTCTTTGGGCTCAGCCAGCAACTCACCTGCTTGTGGCCCTTCCGAGCCCTGAAGAGGTTGGTGCAGGTGGGGTAGACGACGCACACACACTGCTGAGAGGAGAGCGGGAGTGAAAACAGTGCCCCACTGTGTCTATTAATTAGGCTAAAGATGTGGATTGTGAACTTCCCCCTCTCCATTCAATAATGAATTTCATCAGCCGGGAAAGGGAAGATTCTCAAGCACACAGAAAAGGTGACGTCAGTGACAGCCACAGAGAAGAGATTTCCTGGAATAGCGAGGGTTCCCTCCACCTTCCCCTTCCTTCAGATCAGATATGTTTTCAAAACTTGGTCAAGTTCCTGGATGTGGCTAGCATGGCAAGAAGAACTCTACCCATGCTATCTTATTGGTTCTTACAGTAAACGCTCTCTTGCTGAGCTCTGACCAAAAAGAAGGAAGAAATACTGTGCAAATACCTAAGTCTCGGAGACATCATGTATGAGAAGGATTCTTGCTCTGTAGCAAGGCCAGGGCTTTTGCCAGCCTTGGTGGAAGAATGGTGCAGAAGTCAGGGGCCATGGTTTCCATGGTCAACAAAGAAGTAAATTGACGTGCACATGATAATCAGCTCGAGACATCTTGTCCCTTGAGAACGAGTCGGCTTCATCCGTGTTTCCTCGGCTCTCACTGATTGTTCCTGGCAGGACTCCCTATGCCCGCGAATACCTAATAAGCAGTGGCTGATGATGACAATTTATAGCTGTCCAAGATAGGGACAATACCCTGCCTGTCTGATGTCACTGGCGTGGGGCTACCCAAGCCACAAATGCAAGCAGCAGGTGAGTGCAGGAGTGGGCCCCAGGAGGGCACCCTGCATGCCCCACCCTGCCTGCCCAGAGCCCCAGGCAGGAAAGAGGGCCAGGGAGGAGCCCAGAGCCCCGACACCAGACAAGCTGCAGCTTCCATCTGCAAGGGCAGTTAGTTAGACTCTCAAAAGCTACAAAAATATTTTAAAAAGATATTTCACAATATGAAAATGCAGAACCACCATCTTTTCCATTTAAAACATTTTCTTGGGAGGAATAAAGATAATCTCCGAGTTTTAAAAATTTCATCCATGGAAAAATACCAGATAACTTCCATTCAGGGGTTCTGACGAGAGCCCATCTTGTTTCCCGTGGAGCAGATTATTTTGTTTGATACTATTGTAGGAACCCACTTTCCCTTTTGAAAGTCTCCCTGTTCGTAGATGTTAGCTGGGCTCCATTAGCACAAAAGGGCGCCTGTCTTTTTCCTAGTAAAGATAAAAACATCCTGTTAGTACTTTTAAACTCTTTGACAACACAACAACAAAAGCCCCAAACTCCTCTCTCGGGACAGCATCCTAATGAAATCTAATATGGAGGTGACAGAAATCCCAGGCTTTGAGGTTTCTGTTCTTTCTTTCTTTCTCTTTTAATTGCCAATTTCCCCCCTCGCACTGGGACAGGAATCCTTGAGGCCCAGAAAGCAGCCTTGCCAGACCCGGCAGAGAAGGGCACTGGAGTGAGAGGAGGCAGGGAGCCCCGGCGGGAGGCCCCTCGCCCCCTGACTCCCTCCCTCTCCCGCCCTGCCTGCCCCTGTGGCTCCCCTGGGCTCTGGAAACCAGCCCGGGCAGCATTGGTATTCAAATTAGGCTGCCAATCTCAGCCTGGCACAGCCCTGGTGGACTGTCAGCCCATGGCTTGGAGAAAAGGTACCAGATCTCAGATCCCAGGAGATCCAGCGGGATTGAAAGCCCGCCCGGAAAACTTGTCATTGGCTTGTTCACAGGGTGCCTAGAGTTGGGGGCTATTTTCTTCTCTGCGGTCTTTAGTTTTATTAAAACAAGAATAACAAGGAAACAATGCCTCTCCGACCGCGATTAAAAAAGGGAGAGGAAGGGGGGCTCTGCGGAGTCAAGCTCCTCATTCAGAGCCACACACGGTTTCCATGGGAACCTGGAGGCTTTGTGAGGCCTGAGTAACTTGCACTCCCTCTCCCGCTACAGGACCCGTCCACTGTCCTGGCATTGTATTTGTGTGGCCAACTTTTCTTCTGTCTCATTCCCTGGCCCTGCCCCTGCCTATCCCCAGCAACATGGCCATCACCACAGAAGCAAAACGAGAACTCACTGCATCTGGGCTGAATCAAAGCACGACACAAAAGTATCCAGGCAACTGGGAGCCAGCATGCTGCCCGGGACCCCTGGCCACCACGCCGTCTCTCGCCTCGTCTTTTATCCCCTCCTCAGGCAGCTCCTGAGCACCATTTCTTAGCTCTTTTCAAAGATAACACCCACAATACTTAGTTTTAAATGAAGTTTCCAAGTGTATAAAATGCTGTGGTCACACTGAATAATATTAAAAAATAATAACTGCAATAATCCAAATGATGAATGGTCAGTGTTGAGAGAAGCATGCTTAAAGCAAACTTTAAATCTTTAAAATGTCGATGGATTTTAAATCCGGGGCGGGGGGAGGTGCACACGTGTTTCCAGCAGGGAGTGGGGGAGGGGAACTGAGGGGCCCTTACTGCCAACCTTTCAGGAGGCAGGTGGCTCAGTGCTCAGAGACTGGGAGACTGGCACACCCAAATTATGTCTTCTCTTTTCAACGAGGTACCTTTAATATGGCTCTTTTCTCTAATTCATTTTGCCTTTTAAATTCAAAAAGGGAAATATTTATGAATCTATTACCATCCTGAGAAGCTGCCGTGCAAAACATTTGAGCCCATAAATCCTTATCATTTTACTAAGTGTCAGGACTTGATTTTATGAAAGAAAAGGCGTATTTCTTAACACTGTTCGTAAATCACCACTAAAATATTTAGTGCTACAAAGTTCTTTGCCATCAAAGTCGGTAGATCCTTTCAAAGCTGAACAGAAGTCCACCCTGGTGAAGCCCAGTGTCTTTCAAGAGGAAATGTTTGGATCCAAAGCCATCCACCTTTTATTTGTTTGTGTTTATTTAGGAGGTCTGCAATTCATTTTCTTTTGCAAGATGAAAATGTCAATTTTCATCATTTAAATTCAAACTTGTAAAAAAAAAAAAAAAAGCCTAACCTATTTATGTGTCACTGAGTTACAATCTTACAGTGTTAAAAGACATCTTGGGATACATGGCATGAAAGGAATTATTAAAGACTGAGAATCATTTTGAGCTTTGGTAAGTAAAAAATGCAATTTGTTCATAAAAGCTGGAAATGATCTTTTAATCCATTTCCCCACTCACCTTCCTCATGAATATTAATACCGCCTTGTCATAAACATTAAGACACTGAGAGTGGATTTTTTGCATTCCTACAACTATCCTACCCTGTCCTATGTTAGTCACCTCCTCTGTCACTGTGACAAAACCCCTGAGAAAATCATCTTCTAGGAGGAAAGATTTATTTTGGCTCCTGGTTTCAGGGGCTTTGGTCCAAGGTCACGTAGATCCCATTGTTTCTGAGCCTGAGAGGAGAATAAACCTCACGGTGAAGAGGGTGTCGCGGAGCAGAGCTGGGCTCATGGTGATCCCACCCACTCAGAACAGGGCTACCACCCCCCACGTGTGCAGATGGTGCTGCAGGCCTTCTGCCCGTCGCTTTAGGCAGGACGCACAACCTCACACCTGTTGCCACAGCCTTTAAGTGTACAGTGAATGTGGTGCCTCAGCGGCTGGAACGGCAAGGGTTGAAATAAGAAAACGTGGTACTTCCTGTTGGTGGCACACGGGACAAGTTAAAACCACTCTGGAAGATGGGCACCAAGTGCAGGGGAGGGGGTAAGGAGGTCCAGCGTTCCATGTGGTCACTAGGTGAGGCATGGAGGGCAGGGAGGACCAGACCTGTCTGAGAGGTGTGTCCAGAGGGATGGGCCTCACACTGCAGGAGGAGAGGACACCAGGACCAGCCACGGAGGACACCAGGACCAGCCACGGAGAACCTCCTGGCTCAGGAAAGCAAGGGCTCCCGAGGCTCAGGGAAGGCGGTCTCATCAGGACCGCCACAGTCCCTCTGAAGGAGCAGCCCCAGGGCTCCTGACGTGCCCAGCCCCCAGTCACTTCCCAACCTACCTCTTCCTTCCCCAATGGCATCATTTCAGTAAAAACTGGCTCTCTTTTCTGACCAACTTCTTGGCCCACCATCCCTAAATTAAGGAACAAACGGCAGCAAAATGATATTCCTATACTTCGCTGTCCTGGATCCTGAGGACTCTGTCAAGTTCAATATTATCTTCCCAATGCCAGATAAGAAGAATGGACTTGGGGGGAACTAACCACCTATATACTTTTTAAATTTTAATTTAATTGGGAGGTTTTGAAAGCCATCCGTCTGTTACCACACAGGCTCATGTTAGCACAGAAACCACAATAAGTGGCCTGTCCCTCTGGCCCCGTGCTCTGTCCTTATAACGGTGCAGGGAGCTCAGCCCCATTGAAAGTTAGTTTTCGCCACATCCATGAGGCACAGAGCAGACTGGCAAAGAGAGGCAAGCCTCCTTCCTGCAAGGCCATGCCCGGAAGTCTCACACATGGCTCTCTGCACATCCTGTCGGGCAGGACTTAGCCTTGTGGCCAAAATGAGTGCCGGGGGGGCTGGAAAAAGTGCCTGGCTGGACAGCAAAGTACCTAATGCAAGATGACAAGAATAGGCTTAGGGGAACTAACAGCATGTCTATATTTCTATATAGTAGTTTTACGACTTCTTATAGCAAAATGGGCGTTACAGCGTGACCATGAGTTGAGGAGCCGACTCTGCTGAGACAGGAAACCCAGACTGTCTTCCGTGGTCTCCGCCTTTGGCATATCAAGAGCCAAGCCTGGAGGAGCCACATCCACCCCTCGTCCCCACTGGAGGGAGGCCCCTTGCAGGCAGGAGGGCCGGGCTTGTTCTTCTACTGGGAGGAAAGGATATAAGACATCACAGTCCAGGACAGGGTGACAAGACAGGCAAAGAGTAAAGACCCACAGGCATGGGACTCCGGCTGCACCTAGTGGGGAGGACTTCAGATAAGGGAACGGTCCAAGAGAACTGGGGCCTCTTCCTACCCTCCACTCTGGGATATCCCCGGGGGCTCTGAGACCAGCCTCCACACACCAGCCTGGGCATGTTGGTACAATATTTAAGAGGGGGGCTTTGAACTTTAGCTCTCCGGGGCTACTCTGAGCTCCTTTGGGATGTGAGTATGAAGTTGAGAGTCAGCAGGTGTGTGTGTGGCCCGCCAAAGCAGGGCAAAATGACCCACCAAACATCTGGGGTGCACAGGGTAGGTTACAGGAAGGAGAGCAGGGCTGAGCAAATCAGCCCTGGCCACAGCAGGAGACTGGCAGTGTGCAGTGAAGTGTGTCCCGGGAGGAAGGGCAATGGGGATTTCCTCCCCACCTCCTCCCAACAGTGGAAAAGAAAAGGGATTCTTATGATAGACCAACCTCTGGTCTGAACAAAAGTCTACCACAATTTCATATGACGATATTCCACAGGTTAAATGTGAACCCCTGCCAAAAATTGATGAAGGGATCCTACTCATCAATTCCCAAGACCTTATAATAAAATGATTTCCTTGCCTGAGTAAAGCAAGCAAAAATGCAGAAGATTAAAAAAAAAAAAAAGAGATCTTTAAATGAGTGTGATTCAAAGCGCAGCAGGTTCTGGTGTAATCTGGCCCTGGAGTTGGCACTGTGGGGCCCTCGAATCCCCTCAGAGACGTCTCACTTCCCAGTGTATGCATATCCCAATGGAAAGTATGCAAGCACATCTCTCCGTCTTGTCCGCAGCAGAAATGAAAGTTTGCAGGTCTGAGTGGCTCTCTTCCGTCCGTCCTACAGCTTTACTCTCCCCGCTTCTCTACAAACAGTTCAAATCTCAAGTGTCCAGAAAAGAAAACAATCTTTTCCTTTATCTTGGCAAATTCAAAAGCGAATAACTCATCTTCCTCCTTCCTCTCCCGACCAAACCACCAGAGGAATTGCTCTTCCTTCTTAAGCCTTGGACTTCCTCCAGAGGAAAGCTCCGCCCTTGCACCGGCCAGCGCTGCCCAGCACACCCTAGCGCTGCACTTAGTGTCCCTTCACGGTTTCCTAGGAAACACAGCCTCTTTGGACCATCACCCTCCTTGCAGCCGGTGGGTTCCCTGCGCCTGGTGGTCTTTGTCCTGCAGAGAGAACACTGCCCTGTTCTCCTGTTCTCGTTCCTCTCCCACCTTTCTGGATCCTATTCCTCCTGCTCCTCCCACTCCAGAGGTTCTCCAAGGACTATCCATGATGCTTCCTGTTCTCCCTGCATCTCGCAGCTTGGCTTCCACGACCCATCGGGTGCATGTGCAGCATTCCCTGGTTCTGGAGTGGAGGGCCTGTGCGCAGGAGGGACATGCACAACCACAGGGAGGAGTGTATTGGGCATTAAAGGCATGTGATGCCACAGTTAGCGTCTCACCGCTGCTGGCGGGCAGCCTGAGGAGTGTGGAATTCCCAGTCTTTATTACTCCAAACTCCATGAAACCAAAAGCTTGAGCATCACCTCATATACGACTGTCCATTCAGCTCTTCTTCTTAAAAACTGCCTGTTCATACACTTCGCTCACATTCTCATTGGTCCTTATGCCCTTTCTGTGGATGGT